TTATCTGGTTGATCTCAGTGAAGATTTCGATAAAGTAAACCATGAAGTCCTCCTCCAAAAGCTAAGGATGTGTGGTGTTGGTGGCGCACTGCATCAGTGACTTCTTTATTGGGAGACAATGGGGGGTACAGGTGGACGACAACCTAACGGAATGATACCCCTCCACTAGCGGTGTACTCAAAGGCACAGTGCTGCGGCCAATATTATTCCTGATCCATATCAACGAAGTGCCGCAGCTTCTTCGGTCGCCTTGTGCACTGTATGTAGATGATTGAAGATATGGAAGGTTATTGATTCCATCGACAACTGTGACGTCCTATAGCATAAGCGCGACCACCTGTCCCTGTAACCTGCAGACATTGAGCTGCCAGACAACTCGGTCAAGTCGTCAATTATGAGTCTGGGGAACGATGGTAATGGGCATAGGTACAACTTAACTGGCCGAGCGCTGCATCCCACAAGTTAAATAAAGGTTCTCACGCTGTGATCTGAAGTCCGTAGCAACACGCTAAAGTCCAGTCTCGTTACGAAAGAGAGCCGGTAGGTGAAGAAGTGAGAGCCACTTATGGTTCCTGTGTCGAGAATGTCATCTTCCGATTGGTCATTAAATCAGGCAAATCAGGAGAAGGATGCAACCGACAAGTAGCGAGGAAGTCAAATTTAGCCGACTGTAACGTGCGCAATCATACGGTGGAATCGTTCGTTTCGATCCCTATCAATGAATCAGTGACGGGTAATGCTGTATGAGAACGTCAGTAAAGTTGAGGTGGAGAAACATTCGTGGTTGCCCGTTTCCAGTTGCGTGTCGCTTCACAAGCTTCAGGCAGAGCCGAAGAAGTAGAAACTGCAGGCAGATGTCTTCACCGATACACCATCGAAATATGCGGGAGACCCGCGTCACAACGTTAAGTGGCAGTTGTGTGAATGGAGAAAATTGGAGCAGTTATAATTGGATTGCGAATTAAGTGAACAGGCCTACTTAGGGCCAATATGTGAAGCTGCTGACGTAAAAGACTGCAGATTCCACAAAACCACATGACCAGACTGTGTTAAGAATAAAACGGGGATCTGCTGCAAGCAGTGTGACTGATCGAACCATTGACCATCCAGGTAGGATAAGCTCTCAATGGGTCCGGGGAGACCACCCAGTATGGCACAATGGGTCAGAGGTAAGCAAACCCTCGCATCACCGCTAAGAGTCAGTCTCGTTAAATTAAAAGATACATGGTGAAACCCGTGACGCAAGAGCTGCTTTAAAATGAAACAGACGAATATTAACAGGAAAAAGTATAATATGCCACCGCTCAGAACGAGATGGAACAAATATTAAAAGCCAGCCAATCGATCAAATGATCAAGCTCAGAGTAGGGAATCACAAGAACAGAACTGTTAAGGGCATCCTGAGAAGCGATCCGGGAAGTGGCTAGTGGGTTAGGAGCAGCATCCAAAAGAATCAACACCCTGAATTCCTCCGCGAATACGGATCAACAGGTTTCTGATGCTTCAGGTGCGCCCACCGGTTCCTACCACGGCCTACGCGTAGCCTTTACTAACGTCTGCAGTCTGATGAACAAGCGCGATGAGCTGTAATACTTGCTAACCTCTCAGCGACCAGACGTATTAGGCCTTGCTGAGATGGTTAAACTCCGACGTAATCGCCAAAGAAGTGGAAATCAGCGGCTACTCATGCTTCCGCTGTGATAACCATCAAATGATAGCGGTGGCGTACTGCTTTACATAAAGTCTTCTTTGTGTGGGAGACTAGTGAGCGCCTACCGAAGCGCTGATGACCTATGTGAGCAGTTATGGTGTTCGATCCACCACAAACGCTGCGAGATGCTCGTAGGCGTGGCATATTGCAGTGCACTGAGCAACTGCTTGGACTGGTTGCTGCATGTCCGCAACCACATGAGTTGTCAGCTGTGCCTACTCATGGGTGATTTCAACTTATCACGAATACAGTGGCCTGAGGGTGAACTTCTCCCCGGCCATTGTGAAGTCGAGAGGAAGTTTAAGGAGTTAATATTTGAAACCGGGGCCACACAACACATCAAGCAACCGACACGCATAACTGCGCGCGAGACTCCATCGTGTTTAGACCTGCTTTTGACCAGCTGTGAGCAACGTGCGCATGACATTCAGGTCTTAGAGCCTCTGGGAGCGAGTGACCACTCTATGATTATGGCCAGCTTGGAATTGCCGCTGCAGTATTCTCCCCTACTGGAGTCAGCCTTCAAGTATTGGAAGGCGGACTTTAATGGCCTCATTCGAGCAGCGAGCCAGATGGACTGGTCTTTACCAGAGGATTCGTCTATTAAAACCAGTTGGATTATCATTAAAGAGGGAGTGAAATTGTTGTGCGTCCGATTTGTGCCCCTCAAATATCGGAAAGTTGGGCCAGTCAAAGCACATTGGTTCGACAAGGAGTACAGCAAACTGAGCCGACGACGACGCAGACTATGGAACAAATTCGTGTTATCTGGCTCTGATGAGGACTACAAGGCGCACAAGGTACAGCGAAATCTCTGTAACAACGAGAAAACAAAAAGCTTAGAAGCTTCAAAGAGCAGCTTGCAACCGCCGCAAAAGCTGCTCCCAAGAGGATCTTCGCCTACGTGAAGCGGCGCCTTAGGCCTGCAGGCAATGTTCCAGTGTTGGAAGGGTCAGGTGGACAGCCCCCTAATCTCGAGCACAGATCGTGCGTCCGCATTGGTGGCACACTTCGCCTCCGTATTTGCAAGTGACCAGGAGTCTGTAACGAGTTCGACGAGTACCGCTCCCGCTGAACTAGACAGCCTAGACTGCAGCATGGAAATTGTACGCAAGCTTCTGGCAAGTCTTGACGGGACGAATCCTGCTGGACCAAATGGAATCTACCCACTAATTCTCACGTCCCTATCGGTCATCATCGCGCCTTCGGTAACTGAGCTGTTCAACAGGTCACTATCCACTGGACTAGTACCGGGCGACTGGAAATGCTCAGTCGTAAAGCCAATACCGAAAGGTGGTAAATCAAACAGTGACTAACTACCGGCTGATCTACGTGACCGCTGTTTTGGCAAAGACGCTCGAGAAGATCGCGAAGAAGAGCCTTCTGCAGCTTCTCGAGTCGAAAAGCCTCTTGACACCCGCACAGTATGGTTTCGTGAAACGTCGTTCGTGCATCACCAACCTACTGTTGACGAGGCACGAATGATTACAAGCGCTGAACCAAGGCAAGTCGGTCGACGTCATTTACATTGAGTTCAGTAAGGCTTTTGACAAGGTAAATCATACGGTGCTCCTTGACAGGCTGAGGATGTGCGGTGTTGGTGGCTCGCTGCACCAGTGGATCAGGAATTTCCTAGTTGATCGAAAGTGGAGGGTCCAGGTGGACAACCATCTAACCGACTGGTATCCATCGAGCAGTGGCGTGCCCCAAGGCACTGTACTGGGGCCGATTTTGTTTCTGATCCATGTAAACGATGTGCCTCAGCTACTCCAATCACCTTGTGCGTTGTTCGAAGATGACTTGAAGGTGTGGCGAATAATCCGCACACCCAATGATTGTGATTTGCTTCAGCAGGACCTTGACTGCCTCTCCAGGTGGTCGGCAGAGGTCAACCTTCCGATCAACCGGGTCAAGTCGCAATTGATGAGGCTGGGTAAGTGTGGGCACAGTCGAACATACACGGTGGCTGGTCAACCGTTGCATCCAGCGCCTATCGTGCGCGACCTCGGTGTGCTCTCACGCTACGACGTAAAGTCCATGGACAACACGTATAGCTTTAGCAAAACAGCCTTCGGATGCTTTGGGCCCTCAGGCGCAGCTTCAGCACTTGGTCCGAAGAGATTGCCTCTCGCCTCTTCGTCTCAACAATACGACCAATGCTAGAGTATGGCTCTCCCGCGTATTGTCCTATCACCCGGGGCGAGGTAGAAATGATTGAACGAGTGCAGCATGTAGCCACCAGGCTGATTCCCAACTTACGAGGTGTGCCGTACGAAGACCGGTGTGAGAAAGTAGGGCTGTACACCCTAGCTTATCGTCGAATGCAGGTTGACCTCATCATGACGCACCGGATATTACATCTGGGAGAGTACCCCATGTTGAGACCGCTGCTTCATCTGCGCACACCAAAGAGCACACGAGGACACTGGTACAAGCTTGTCGTACGGGATTTGAAGCGGGTCGCTCACCAATTCTGTTTCGAACGCAGAATGGTGAATGTATGGAAAGGCTTGCCGCAGCACGTAGTTGAGGCAAAGTCGGTAGCGGAATTTAAGAAGTTCCTGGACAAACACTTTGCCGACGCAAAACATACTGAGCACAACACAACATAACGGGACTTTGTCCCTAAGTGACATTAGATGGACCTAAGCAGAGAAAACTCTACTTGCTGCTTCCAACCAGTAATCAGTAATCAATTCCAGCTACGGTTTGATTTCCAAGCACAATCGTATCCCGACGACACCATCGCTCCGTAGAGATATCCCGGAGCACGATCATCAAGCTCACAGGCACATAAAAAACAGTATAAACAATAGGAGGCAGCTGATGTTCAGACTATTGATCACACGCTCAACAATTCAAGGTGCCCGTCCCAAGAAACTCAGCGGACCATCGGAACAATAGTGTCACAGGATAGTAAAGATACACCACGACACAAGAGCAAAGGAATCGAAACACTGGTAGCGCAGATTGAGTGCTCACGTGTACATGTGCTCGCCGAGCTTGACAGCCGGTTTGCAAACCATTCATCACCAGGTAATATGGTATCATCAGAGCGTAGCACACGGATATACTCAGTGAGAAGTTTGGTTTGCTGAATTCACTAACTCGAATGGGCACGCAAACTAAGATGAGTGAAATTAACGATCATAACAACGTCACACCCAATGCACAGCAAGATGTGAAATAGAGCCGCAGTCTAGCAGAGTACATTGATGATATTCAGCAGAACCACTGTAAGCACATTTTGAATACTCTAAAACAATGAACACTAAAACCAGGCACTCACTTGAATGAACTGTATCAACGTGTCTCTGCAGAATATCCGACTGAAGAAAGCATCTGCCACAATGGTCGCATCTGTAGGGGTTCTCTCCTGAGATTGCGAATACAGTGGATTCAGCAACAATAACAAGAAAAAAGAAAAGGCGAAGACAGATGCGGAGTTTTCCCCCAAGCGATTGCAAACCACAAAGTGCATCAGTTAGCATTTCGACCAAACAATTAAGAAACTTGCAGTTACGAAAAAATAAGCGCTTGTTCTTATGCATTCTGCGGTGCACTAGTCATCAAGGCTGTGCAATTACGTAAATGTGATTCACGTGAACGAGTATGACAAAGGGACACTATCATACACCGAGTGCGATTTAAAAAACCAAAATAATGGAAAGAAGAAAAGTGCGTAAGCACTCTGAGATTATGAATGCACAATGGAGGAAAATCCCCAAGAGCACTTAGATGAGCAATAAGTACGCGAGAAGCAAAAAACGAATAGGGGATGAAACGTAAAATATCGAGAGTATTGTATACGTGGATGGTGGCATCTGATTAAAGAAATACCTGTCATTGCAGCCCTTATAGGATAGGCACATGTCTGCGCGTACAAAGCTGACATGGGTGGTTTGCGTCGAACCACTCACAGCTCCAATCGGTGTAAGCTCAAAAGAATAAGACCGGAATGTTTGTGGTAAAGAGCCACGTCTCGTCAACGGTGCCTGCAAACACAGCTTCAACGTGTACAGCGGCAGCGTGATTGCATACTTCTGGAATCATGCGTGCCAGATGTACACAAGGCGGTGGCTGGGACGTAGCCCCTTCCACACTGGAAGCACGGAACCACTCTTTGAGCCTAGCACAGACACGTGGACCGGGTTCACTCTATCATCCAGAAAAGATCAAGGTGCCGATATTAGGAAAAGTAGGCACTTTGTCAACATTCACGTCATTCAGACCGGTCCCGGATTTGCCTGTCAAAGTGCCTGGGACAGCCACAAAACGCCTGCGCCTACCCAGGGACCATGGGTGGCTTACGCTACACCTTCCACACACCCCATATCCAGTGCAAACCCGAAGAAATAAGACCGGGAGGCATGTGGATGGGAACCAGGTTTCATCAACAGTGCAGGCCTAAAGTCAATCACAGGCAAACACAAGAACGCTGTATTTGGGGAATCAACCGCACACAAGGCGGTGGCTGGACAGTAGTCCGCTCCACACACATAACCCATACGCATGGAACCTCATTTTGAGTTTAAAACTGTCACGAGGACTGGCACCTCGTCCCCTCCAGCAAAAACCAACCGTGTCCTGGAAGCAGAGTAATCGAAGCGCATGATAATAGACAGGTAGGCACCTTGTCAAGATGCACATCAAGCGCAGCCACACCGAGGATGTCAAACAGCAGCCAACCACTTGAAATGAGAAAATCAAAAAAATAAATCAAAAAAACGTACGAATATTCCGACACACTCCTCGCTAGAGTAGTATATAAAATCAATGGGTTATAAATAAATCTGTGGTAAATTCAAGTTGTTACAAGAACAAAAAATGCAACAAGAGAAAAATTACTGAAGTTAACCATCCAACGATAAAGCAACGCGGGCAAGTTAGTAGATGATAATTTAATTTGCCGTAGTTCATGCTTAAGTTTGGACAAACGTATGTGCATATGTAGTTGTTGAACTACCATCGGCTACAGATGACACCAATTCATATATATATATATATATATATATATATATATATATATATATATATATATATATATATATATATATATATATATATATATATATATCATCAGCTTAGCATTGGCACGAAGCTGATGGTGTACAAATCCATGGTACTGTCCGTTCTTCTATACGGCAGTGAAACGTGGACGATGTACCGGCGGGATGTGCGATATCTCGAGCGGTTCCATCAGCAGTGTCTGCGACGAATTTTGCGGATCGGCTGGGGCGCCAGAGTTGCAGACACGGAAGTGTTGCGCCGAAGTAGGATGTATGCAGTGGACTGCATACTTTTATTGAGACACCTGAGATGGCTCGGTCACGTGAGCCGTATGGATTCGACGCGGATGCCGAAACAACTCTTATACGGTCCGCTGAGTATTGGGAAGCGGCACGTGGGGAAACCAAAGTTACGTTACCAGGACATGATTAAAGTGAGCCTCACACGTTCTAATCTTGATTGCAGATCATGGGAATCGAAGGCAGTTGATCGGTGTGCATGGCGCGATCTAATCACGAAGGCAGTTGCTGAAGTGCGGGAGAAATCCCTCATGCATGCAAAGAAGAAGCGGCAGTTGCGGAAGCGGCAAGCACCGATGAATTGTACTCCATCGACATCGAGCGCATTGTGCTGTAGAACATGCGGTCGCGAGTGCCTTAGTCAGGCAGGCCTAGTGAGCCATGAGAGAGGTCACTCGGGACCACTGCCGAAGCGACGACGGGTCCCGCAGTGAACGTAGGCAGCACCGGCGCAGCGTTTGTAGGCACGCTGAATTCGATTTACTAACCGCATGCTTGCATGCTAAGTCTCTTATTTCAGGTGGTGGGTTTTCGGTTCTCTCCTAATGCCTTTCTTTCTCATACAAATGTCTAGTGGGCCATGAGCCATGAGCTGTGCCATTTGGCGCCACTACAGAAGCGACGACGGGTCCTGCAGAGAATTACGGCGAGCCGGCACAGCGTTTGTAGGCACGCTGAATTCGATTTACTAACCGCGTGCTTGCATGCTAAGTCTCTTTATTTCAGGTGGTGGGTTTACAGTTTTTACCTTAATACTTTTCTTTCTCATATAAATATCTCCCTGTACTCTATTCCATTAACTTGCACACATCGCTTCAGCCAATTGTATTCGATTTCCAAAGCATTTTTGTGTTCGTGGCATTCCGTGAACTATACTTTCTGACCTCGTGCACTCAGCTAGGATCTGTTTGTAAACAACTTATTACATATGCTCATTAAATTAAGGTTTATATCACCGTTTCCTTATGCATTAATCGAGTTTTTCTCTTTTGCTTTCTCTCTCTCTCTCTCAAGTGTTTGGCTGTTGTTAGATATCCCCGGTGTGGCTGCGCTTGATGTGCATGTTGACAAGGTGCCTACCTGTCTATTACCCACTACCTCGTCCATACTGGCTCCAGGAGACAGTTGGTCGTTGCTGGAGGGGACGGGGTGCACGGTCCTTGTGGCCGTGTTAGGCTCGAAGAGTGGTTCCATGCAGTCAGTGTGGAGCGGACTACGGTCCAGCCACCGCCTTGTGTGCACTTGATTCCCAAATACAGTGTGCTTGTGTTTGCCTGTGAAGGAGTGTGGGCCGGCTCCGTTGATGAAACGTGGCTCCCATCCACATGCCTCCCGGTCTTATTCCTTCGGGTTTACACTGGATATGGGGTGTGTGGTTGGAGCTGTGGGTGGTGCAGCGCAAGCCACCCATGGTCCCTCTGTAGGCGCAGGCGTCCTGTGGCTTGCCACAGTGACAGGCAAATGCGAAACCGGATGCCGCCAACCATATACCGAAGAAAATCCAAGACGACACTCATATGGCTTTTGAACGGGTAACTAAGTGCAGCGAAACGACACGTTGGCAAATCGAAATTACGTTACCAGGACATGAGCAAGGTGAGTGTATCACGAACTAATGTTGATTTCAGATGTTGGGAATCGAATGCGGAATTGATTGGCGGGAATTCCGTGGGCTGATCAAGTGAGCGGTTACCTAGGTGCAGGAGAAGGCACTATTGCACTCGGAAGAGACGCGCGATGAGTCCGCTGCTATTTGAGTAACTAACCCAGGCCAATAAGACGGTGGATGTGACATATTTGCTTGCATGTTGAGCATTAGTGCATTTCAGGGGATCTGATGTTGGTTGAGCTCCCCGGTGTGGCTGCACAAAATATGTGAATGTTGACAAGGTGACCACCCGTCTGTTACCTAACACCTCGTCCATATTGTCTCCAGGAGCAAGTTGGTCATTGCTGGAGGGGACGCCATGCACCGCCCTTGTGATCTTGTTGGGCTCGAAGAGTGGTTTCATGCATCCAGTGTGGGGCGGACTACGACCCAGCCACGGGATTTAACAAATAAGAATGAATGCTTCCGCTCAGCTTGTTGAAGGAGTCTGGGCAGGCTCCGTTGAAGAAATGTGGCGACCATCCACATGCATCCAGGCATTATTCCTTCCGGTTTACACCGGATATGAGGTGTGTGGGAGGAACTGTAAGTGGTGCAGCGTAAGTCACACAGAGTCCCGGTGTAGGCGCAGCCGTCCTGTGGAGCCCACAGTGACGGACAAATCCGGACACGAATGCTGCCAATCCATTCAGATGGACGTTAAAATGAGGTAACAAAAGAAGCACAAAGACCATATAGCAAACCAACCACCTGAAACAAAAAACTCAGCACGTAAGCACGCGGTTGCTAAATCGAATGCAGCGTCCCTACCAACGCTGCGCCGGTTCTTCTTACGTTCTCAACAGCACCCGTCGTTTTTTTGATGGTGGTACCGAGTGGCCGCGCTCGTGGCTCACTAGACCTGCCTGACTCAGGCACCCGCCGCCACATGCGCTACAGTACCTGGCGCTGAACGTCGATTGACTACATTCCATCGGCGCCTGTACCTTCTTCTCCGCATGCATGAGGACTGTCTCCTGCACCTCGGCAACTGTCTTCGTGATCAGATCGCGCCATGTACTCCGATCAACCGCCTTCGATTTCCAACACCGGCAACCAACATCAGAACGTGATAGGCTCACTGTGATCACGTAATGGCAACGAAGTTTCGGTTTCCCCACATGCACCTTCCCAAAACTCAGCTGACTGTAAACAGCCGCTTCGGTATCTGCGTCGAGTTCATACCGCACATGTTATCGAACCATCTCAAGTGTCTAGGCAAAAGTATGCAGTCTACTGCATACATCCCACTTCGGAGCAACATCTCCGTGTCTGCAACTCTGTCACATCAACCGATGCGCATATTCCGCTGCAGACACCTTTGATGAAACCGCTCGAGATATTTTACATCTCGCCGGTACATAGTCAACGGATCGCTGTCGCATAGAAGAACGGACAGCAGCATGGATGTGTACACTA